TCCCCTAGGATACTTGCTCCCCCGTTTTGCCAATAATACGCCAAAAATTACACATTAGTTTCAAGATTGGATTTTCTCTCCATACAAGAGTTTGTGTTTCGTGGTAGAGCCTATATGATCCAAACTTCCTATCGTTAATTTTTTTGCTGAAACGCCACTGAGTATTAATTTTCATCTCTAAAATATTAAAAATGAAGCCTTATTCCAAAGAGCTTACTACTCATGAGATATATTATATGATGTGGTGGGGTCAAGAAACAGACCCATGCGGTTCAAATAAGGTTCAGTTACTTTTTTTAATTAATTACTGTCATGAACAAATTTTCAGCATAGGAAAACTAACAAGTAGCTTGTTTTGGCATATAAGTATCATGAGAATCCTTTTATGCGGTGATATCCATAAAATAAACCTATGTGGTCCATAATCGGTGAGGCAGATTTCTTTGCCAATTTATTATTATGGGCTAATTTTCACCATGAAATATTGAAAATTCAAACTTTTTACTATATAAAGCTTCAGTTGCAGAAAATTGTTCGCAAAAAGGACGCTCAAGTTGCTGTCGCTTAAGCAAAAGAAGAAAAGAGTTGATAATAATATGATGCCGAGAATCTCATATAAGCGTTTCACTGTAATGAACATTTTTTTAAACTTATTTTGCTGTTTTGCATCTAATGTATGTGCAATTGTTTTTGTAAAATTTATGTCATTACACCCTACAGCACTTGTGCTGCAGGGTATATTTAGTGCGTAGGTATATAACACCCAGAAGTCATTTTCTAAATCGATCTAAGCCTGTCTGCCCGTCAGTCCGTTACAATATTTGAGATATTTCGATGAAATTTTGTACAGTAACGTACCTTGGTCTAAGGATGAGCCCTATTGCAATTGGTTTGGTAATGACTGTTCTGTGAATTTTGAAAACGTACCAAAAGTTGTGGACGCCTCGGACACAACCATTCTTACGCAACGTAAACAGTTATTTGCAAAAAGATTTAATTTTTAATATACGGTCGCATAAAAATAAGTTCCTATAAAAACAGAGTGTAATTTTGTCTTTTTATGGCTACAGTCCCATAAAAGTAAGTTGCTATAAAAACAGGGTACAATTTCTGTATTCTATAGGAAAAGTAAGGATTATGTTAGACAATGTGGTGTAGGGCATTTGACGGTCGGCCTAGTCCGACCTGTTTTTATTTGCAATATATTTGAAGTGGTCGTAAAAACGGTTCGATCCCATGGAATTCGTGCTTAGGTCAAAACACAACAACGGTTAGAATATTTCACAGAATGCAATATTTCGGTTAAACATAAAACTGATATATATATATATATATATATATATATATATAATATGATATATGAGCAGCCAATAGACAGACAGACATGCTTAAACCGATTCAGAAGTTAACATAAAAATTTATCCATATACCAAAAGATGAATGGAGTATTAATTACTTCTAGATGTTACATATACATCTACATAAACTTAATATCCCTGTATTATGAGCGAAATTGGATTTTAAAGGCAACATACTTAAATCTGTCTAAAGTTATTGCTTTAAACTCTTATCTAGTGTAAGTGAATTTCTAGTATGAAAAAAGGCCTGAATTTCACTCGCTTAGGTAGATGATCGTTAAAAGAGAAGGCAAATATATGTCACTACATACGTTAAGGTAAAAAACAAGAGAGAGAGAGAGAGAGAGAGAGAGAGAGAGAGAGAGAAAGAAAGCCTAGAAAATTCTGCTACTACTGTGTAAAAAAGGACATCAGAATTGTTACCTTCATAATGCCATTGATTCAATGCATTCGCAAATACATCGCAAATACATCGGCATTTGCATTTAACGACAACTGTTCCCACCATGACGCTTTATATATTTTTAGTTTCTAGACCTCCTTATGCGTTTAGCATTGTAATTACATATACATTCTTACTAAAGTTCATAATATTAATTATATATAAATTTATTTTATCATTTTTCGTTTACAATATTTTTAATTGTTTATTCACATATTTATTATTATTATTAGTTGTTTTTTTTTTTCTTTGTAAATCAATAACAAGACCGAGAATGTTAGACAAAACGTATACAACCTCTACGAGTGGCTTGTTACGTTCAACAATAGCAATTAATGAAATAATATATATACTGCTACAAAAAAAATAAAAACAATAACAAAAGAGAGAATGGTTTAAAAAATTTATTGATACGCTAGAAGAAATGTATGAAACATACATACATAGAAAGAGAGAGAGAGAGAGAGAGAGAGAGAGAGAGGAACGAAGGAAACCCCAATAGGAAATTTATCAAATAAGCTACAAAAGTTGAAACTATGTAGCTTCACTTCTGCCACTCATACTAATACATCGCAAACAAATAATGTTACGCTTTGTATCCATCTTAAACACAACAGTGCGACGTAAATAACTTTAACGATTTTACTTCTTTTAATCATATTATCCGTCAGCCAGTTTTAAGAAAGCGGAGCCCACTCCGCTTAAGTCGACATAGATGCGATCAACTTTTTACGAGCATTTAGCACAGCATTCAAATTTGTGCAACCACTTTCAGACCTTAAATAACGGACTAACATTTTCCATAACATTGCATTAAAATCGTGTCCGTTCGTCCTTCTGTTTTCTTACTTCCATAGCGCAATAGGTATGACACTGTGACCGTTGTGCCGCCATAACTCAACTCACGCTATACCATATAATTTGTTCGAAGGGCATCATACACGCGTCATCATAAGATATATTGAAAGCACGTGCAAAATATTTTACACAAGCAAGATTAATGAGCTCACATTTGATTTTCAATTGTTATGCAACTATAAGCAGACCTGTGCAGTTTTTTATTATTATTGACCCGACAAGTGTAGAAAGAAGGCCAAGTTTGTTTGCTTTATACGCAAGCTTTTCAAACCATCATTGCTGCAATGTGAACATACAAAGAAGAAAGACAAACAGAACTACACTATATCGATTCTTTTCTATGCACATTGATCCACTAATTTGTACATTTTGCCGGAACTCAGATCCGTATTTGCACGCGTGAAGAACATTTGTATAAATACGTAATGCGAACATAAAAATGAGACAAGATATATAAATGTGGTTTATAGTTTATACACTGACCTGTGAGGTGGTGGGTGCATATATATCGTCTATTGTATCATGCATTAGTGGATCTCTCTTCTAGCAGATCAATCAACTTGTAATTGTAATTATTTTAGAAATTTATCGTTTTAAAGACATTTTTTTGGTAATGAGTATTACGAAAATTCTATTTAAGTCGAACCTAAGTTACCTAAGTTTGAACTTTTGTTACATATATATATCTATATACACGAATGTAAAATATTGCCCAAAAAAAATGTACTCGAGTATTCAGTGATTCAAGCGAAACTTCGTAGACAAGTGCTGGAAGAGCACATTTAGAGTCCGTCCGTATGCCAAATGACCACGTTCTCGTAATTCTGGTTTCACCATCAAGGCAAGGACAAACGCAAGGACAGGCAAAAATCCTAGGAACTAATTACAATCCCGTTGGCGCAATTTTGATAAAAATTTTGAGCATAAAATATTTTCCCTTCTCCTACAGGTCCACGTTTACAATGGAATAAAACTTTCCGACCAAAAAATCATCCAATATTATTGGCGAAGCGCTACCTTCCTCAGTTATGATTCCGCAAATTTCCGAAAAGTTTCTGAAAGAGACATTAAGAAGTGTTTGAATAAGCAGATAAAAATTTGCTTGCAGACCTAGCTATTTTATGTGTAGTGAATCGGGAAACGAAGTATGACAAAACTATAGAGTTACCACAGACGAGGGAACTAGATCGTATGGACGTTGAACGGTTGAAAGAAAACAACATTATAAGAGGGCAACCACAGAAGGACTTGCAATTGGTGGCGGCCAGCAAACAATGACCATCCACGAATCATTTGTAGAGGTGAACTACGATTCGGGTTTCGTAGGGCAGTCTTTGTTGTGCGTCGTAGTCATGGTCGCTCCAAAAACATCCACGAAAACCCATCGACCGCAAAGCCTAATCGGCGGCTTCAGATATGCTGCACTTGTTTAAGATCTGTCCGACAAAATGATCGAAGGAGTGTGCCTTTATGAACTTATACGCCAATGTAGATTATATGACATAATGGAGCGCTGTGCTATAATAGAGGATTCTATATCATATCCATATATACAGTGATGGTTAGGTGTTTTGATTTAACAGAACATAAAGTTCCCCTGGAAGAGAGCATTACAAAAGAAAAAAGAAAAAAAAAAATAGTCGTTGGTATCAAAAACTTCGGCCTAAGCCGTATAAATCCTCTCCCTCTTGCTTGAAGTTTCCGTTTCGGTATAAATTTTGTAGTTAACCGGCTTAAAAGTACCAGTTTCGTTAAATAAAAAAAAAAATAAAAAAATAAGGAAAAGTCGAAGGCAAAGACATTATGCAAAATGCAGGCAAGAAAAACAACAACAATAACGTTAGAGTGTTAACAAAGAACATATGTGTGGATTATTTTATTTATTATTTTCCCGTATATCGTACTTAGTATCCCATGCGAAAAAGCAAAAAACCAGTTAGTCGCAAAGTCATAAGTCACTGTAAATAGCTTTGATCTTATGAAAGACTCGAAAATTGCCAGAGAAGAAAGAATATGCTGTGCGGTTCTCTCTTGTTTTTCTCTCCTTCTCTCGTTTTTCTCACTCTCTCTTTCTTTTCTCTCTCTGACTATCTTTTTTTCTTTCTCTTTTTCTATCCATCATTTAAAGACCCTCTCTAACCGTTTAGCAGTTCGTTTGGCGGGCCTTGGCTGGCCATGCAAAATTGAAGAGTATTTTGTAAATGATGGCAAATATCTGAATATTGTTTAGTTAACGTTATATATTCGATCCAAAACGACGGTTACGCGGACCGCAATCACGCGTTTAGAAAAATCATTTTTAAGAAAACAACAAAAAAAGCAAGAAGAAGATAATCACGGAATATTTTTAAAATACGGAAAATAAATTTTTTTATATTATATATTAAAAAAAAGACACACATACGCGATTACATGCCTATGCAAATTCATATACACGCTGCTATTTATTACATATAAAAATAGTGTGATCTCTAATTAATTTTAATATTTAATATAATTTAAGAAAAAAAAAAATAAATAAATAATTAAGGTTTAAAAAAATTTTAATTTTTTTTGGAGAAAAGTTCAACAATACTTTTTTTTATAAAATTTCCTATATTTGCTTTCCTATTCATTACTATTACTATTATTATGATTATTTTTTGTACATCTTTGATTAAAACTTTATTAATTGTCCGTTATATTACTTAAGTTGTAATATGAGCATAAGTGTTGAGTTCGTTAAGTACTTCACAGCTCATCTTCGAGCCCCTTGCGAGAGTACATACGGCAATGTAGAAAATAATTATCAGTAACTTGTTGTTGTAAGCCACTTATGGGTCAGATTAAACGTAAGAAAATTATTTCTTTATTTACTTTTTTTTTTTTCTTTTTTTGTCTTGTTTCATTTTATTAATGAAACTTATCAATTAATTAAAATTCCACTGACAATTTAAGAAAGTCTTGTCTCAGAATTAGAAAGTTAAGCGAAAATATAATGTGTTTAGAGATCCTCTAAATCATTTTCTATGAAAAAAAGAATTGTTGAACTTAAATATGAAAACTAGTGAAAATTTGACAATTAAGAAAAATCTTGTATCACTAGGATCTAAATTGAAATCGAGAAATAGCTACAAGCATTTGGACTTTTGGTGCTTACTTACGGGGCATAATTTAAACATCTACTCTTGCAAGGATTTAGCTGAGCAGCTGATGAATGACTTTGCAGATCTTGTTTTTCATTCATGTCAAGAAAGGGGAACAAGTCAGTCAGTTAGCCATATTCGGCCGCCTCTCCATCGTATAATCAAGTAGTTAGCAAGGGTGACTATCAAGCTTGGCATATCCGAACTCTATTTCCCGTACCGGTAGACCATACTTTAAATATGATTAGTTGTGTGATGGATACACAAGCTCCCAGGTTGCGGCCACTCCCAATTTCTCTCCTCTCGCCTCTTTCCTAACCATCACCCCGTTACCCATATAGGGGACATTTTCAAAATAATTGGTCGAATTAAAGAAAAAAAAAAAATTTTCTATTTTAGGAACACTCACAGCCGGAAAAGTTGATATAAAAGAGAGAAAGATAACACATATATTTTTACTTTTGATAGGACATAGATCAACGCAAGAATGCTTACATTAACAATCAGCAGATGTTCAATCAAATTTTTTTCGAAATCATTACAAAATAATCGCCGCGAACCTGAAACGTGAAACGCCGCCAAGCAAGGTTTTACACAATATTTCACAATATTCATACTTCTTACTCACTATTAATCCGCCTGAGTAGCCGAAGGGGAGGAATCTCGACTAGCAAGTCAATGGTCGTGGGTTCGAATCTCAAGTGCGGTAGAGTTTTTAATAAAAAGCCGATAGCCTTAGATGCTAGTGCTTTTAAGAGTTTAGTCTTAGAATTTATTTCTCTGGCGAAATTAATAATAATAATAATAATAATAATAATAATACTCACTATTACCTATTACCAAAATCGTGCACTTTTTTCAAGCTCGCTTCCATACTTCTTTATTAACATTAAGCAGACGCACAGATGGACAGGCATAAACATGCATTTATACCATTTCTGGAAAAAAGAGTTTAATCACGGATTAATCTTCTTATATATTTAAGCTCTCCCACACATGGATGGACATGTGGATTAAACCCCAGACATTTGTATGTTTTAATCAATGGCTTGTAAATGCCATTGTTTTAAAAAGCCGACATATTAGTAATACGTAGGGCATCGCAAAATCCACCTGAGCACGAGAATCGATCAAATTGACTGCTCATGAAATCCAACTCCTTACTAGTGGCGGACTAGTCTAGGAATTAGACATAAGCAATTTTTTGTTTTCCTCCCTTTCTTTACTGCTTTCAGAGATATGAATATGAGGATCGAGACAGATCTGTGCCGTACTCTGCGATTCATGCGTTACATTTTTTTTTGCTAAATATATGTCAAGTTGCAATTTTCCTAAGAATCCTCCTACCTAAACGAATCCAATCGTCCAGTCTATTAATTATTCAATCCTGCATCTCTGTTCGTAAGGTAGAAGCATTATTTCTCACGCGGGTAATCAGCCGATGACGTCCCTGTTACCTGAAAAGTATTTCGATTTCATTATTCTCTGGCCTTTTTCATACGCACACCTTGATGCCAGGTATTATTCCAAGTTAAGAGACGAAACTCTTAAGCTGAACAGTCTTCGTTATTTTTTTTTTAAACGCAAACAGTTAGCACGTTCCCGTACAAATAGTCCAGAACAATTTCTAAGTCAAATCATTGTTTGTAGTACTCTTTATCAACAGTTATGTAATGCGTTCCAAATTACGACAAACGTGTTCTTAAGGGTCCTTTCTCTAAAGTGCTGGAGTATAACGTACTATCAGCAGTAACAGCGAGACTCAACGAGCAAATGCAAAAATATTTAAATGATTTGTGAACAAAGTAGAACCAAGCATTTACGTTAAGACTGACTCATGTATTATTTCCGAAAGAAATCATATATAAATTCTTGGAAAAGCTCTTTCCGCTAAATGCCAACAAAGCCTGGGAACTTGTAATGCATACAAATCTAGGAAATCAAACAGTCGGGAGGATGGTGGGCGAATACATAAAATTAATTAATAGAAAACATTGAGTTTAGCTTCGTTGAAAGTTAACCTAGTGATATAAGAGTAATTAGTGACTGCTTGAAAATCATAAATTTTTTCGTTAATAAAAGCAAGCACAACATAAATTTTAACGACGACAATTATATAAGTACGTAAAGTAATGAATTTGCATTGAATATGAGATTGTAAAGAACAAGTGTACAGTAAAAGGACGTCATAACCTAATATATTAGTGCATTCATCATGGATTATTTGGATTACGCTTGGATTGTATGGTCCTACATACCCTACATGTTATATGCATTCGTTTTCTTTACACTTGTGCCGAAATCAATTCGCAGAATCGTTGAATTTGCTAATGCCAATTATGAAGCTAATCGTCATAAATATCATCGTTGCTATGCACCGGACATATGTTGTCATTCCTTTGATCCTGAATTATTGCCGAAACAGAAGCCACGTAAAACAGTTACTCGCATTTATCCAAAAAAGCAATCGATAAGCGAGCAGTCATCGCCGTCGACGAAAAGGAACTCTGTTACCGAAGAATCACCCAACATATATAAAAGACAAGTTCACACGCATACCAATGTCAATAAAATAGCGAAAATGTTCGAAAGCGGTGGAGTACAAAAGAAAATTAATCGTGTCACGCCTACCACTATCTTAACAAATGATTTGCGTAAGCTGTCAGTTGATACGGAAGATAACGATAATTGCTTTAAGCGGGAGGAGATTGCGAACGCAAGGAAAAGAAAAGATAGTTACGTTAAACTGAACAATGAGGAGCATTTGAAAAAGCGCTTCTCTCAACTATCCGAAGATTTCGAGGAGAATAATGAGAACTCGGCTAACGTTCTAAATCAATTAACACGCAACGATAGCAACGAGTTATGGCATCAAAATTGGCGGAGTGAACCGATAGCCGTGCAAAGACGTTCACGTAATGTACCAAATAATTTAACATTTGCGGGTACATCGGCTACGCCGTCTACGGTCTCGCCGTCGCAATTATCACCGCTTTCTTCGCCGCCGTCAACGGACTCTCCGTTAACTATGTCGCCGACACAACCAAATGCCTCGTTACTCAATGCCATGCAATCTAGTCTCGAAGATATATTTGCTGCCATAGCTCGAAACGCTGAAGAAACTGAATGCTTCCTATATAAAGGTTGTCGCACACTATCCCCGGTTACCTCCATCGACGATATATTGTCGCAGAGGCGTCTATCGCGACCGCTATCCGCTTATTCAATTAGCGATTTATTAAACGACGAGCCCAATAGCAATACAAGCGGTCTAACCGAGACATATGTAGAAAATTTTTGTAAAATTCTAAATAAAACATGAGTTAACTTGTAGACGCATTTCGGCGGCGGCAGTTGCAGCAGTATCGCAGCGTTCACCGAGTATTTTATAATTTTAGCAAATTTTTATTTTTATTTCGTACATGTATCTATAAACATACGCACACACACATATGTGTGTGCCTACATGTGTTTATATATATATGACATTTTTGTTGAGTAAAAAAAAGACAAAAAAAAGAGAAGGAAAAAAGTAAAAAAAAAAAAAAGAAAAGAACTGATATTCCCCTGCATGTGTATGTAGTGTATGTCAAAGTGCCATCATGTCGTGCATACGCGATGTTTGGATATATATGTAAAATTGCATACGCATCGCGTAGCATTGTTCGCTCGATGAATCACATGAAATTTCCAATGGTATCTAAGTCCAGTAAAATAAAAAAAAAATAAATGAATAAATAAATAAAGTAAATGAAGAGAAAAATCTCTAAGTGATTGTAATTATTTTTGTTTAATTTCTGAAAATTTAAGCAAAATTTAATGAAAAATTTTTGGAAGAAATTTTTTAATTGTTTTAAGTGTTTTTTTTTTTTTTTTTTTTTTTTTTTAAATTTTATATATTATTACTAATGCTTTTTTTAAAAGCAGCAGAAACCAATGCGATTAAGGCTGCTCTGGCCAGTAATACGTTCTTAAATTATAAGTGTATGTATGCTTGAATATGTTTTGTTTAACGAAAACAAATTTTTATAAATAAAGGTATTCATTTGATTTTGTAATAAATATTATGTAAAGTAAATCTTGTAAAAATTAATAATTGATAATAAAAAAAAAAAAAAAAAAATGTTTAAAATGCGTTTTCCTTCTTTTTTAAAATTTTTTTATATATTTTTTTTTTTTTTTTTTTTCTTTCTAATAAGTAAATCATTAATCGAAGCAAATAAGAGAATGGCACCTTTTTCATACACATTACCTCACATCAAGTCATACAAATTGTAATGTTATCTTAATCATAAGCGTCAGTCGGCTGCGCTGAAATTTTAAATGGACCAAGCTCAAGTTTATATATCAATCTTTATCTTTATATCTCTTATGTAGTGTAAGTTAAAGGGCGCGTGTGTGTGTGTGTGTGTGTGTGGGTATGGAACTCCTATTAAGGGCTTAAATCGACTTACAGTCATGCATAGTTTATGAACTCCATGCAATTCTTACAGAAGCTTGCATATTCTTCAGCTTGCCGGTAGTCGCGCCTTAAGACCACAAGCACTTTCCTTTTACAAGTATTTCTACACAATTTTTCCGTTGCTGTGATCATGCATTAAGTTGTAATACTACAGGATATGTTAAGTTTATGCCAACGTGTGCAACTCCCAGAAGGCGTTAAGATAGCCGCACCTTTTAGTATTTAAGCTTATCGTTTCGTCTGTCCGTTTGTCCTTCCGATGTCTGTCTATGCATTTTTTGTGTCCAATCTACAGGTCACAACTTTTCACATATTTTGTTATTATTTCTGTTATTGTATGCATTTATGTGCGTCTTTCTATGGTAAAAATGTATAATTTTCAATATTATATGATGAAAATTGAATCACAATAGTAAATTGGCAAGGAAATCAACCCTGCCGAATTCGGGTTACATAGGTCTATTTTTTGAATATCACCGTATATTAGTATTCTCATGAAATGTAAATCCTTACATGCCAAAAATGCGTAGTAGTTAATGTTTTATGATGAAAGTTTGTCCGTGATAGTAATTTGATTGACATAAAAATTAAGTGGACCAAATTTGAACAACATGGGCCTATTTCTTAGACCGCCCTCCATATAAGATTTCTCATGAATAGTAAGGTTTTGAGAAAAAAATTTAACTTTTACTATCTTATGATGAGAATTTAGCAGAGAAATTAACGGTCGGGAATTTGGATCACATAGGTCTGTTCTTTTGGAGCCCAACATTGTATAGGGGTTATCATGAAAGGAAAGACCTTATAAGGCAAGAAAGACCTTATAAGGCAAGAAAGACCTCACGGAAACTAAAAGATAGTAAAGTTTTTAGGAAATAAATTGAGTTTGCAAAATTTAGATCACACCATGTCATATTTTGAACCTCCGCCAACGAAGGGGTTTTCCATGTAGTGTATACCTTTGTATTGAAAGTATGTGTAATTTTTGATGTATTATTTGTAGAGCGAATGAATCGCTGTATTAGACGAAGTGCTATAGGGTATCTAATAATCGGCCTTGCCCGACTATAATGTTCACAATGTGATGCTGTTGATGTATACATTTTATAACTCTGGCAGCAATGTTTGCCGTTTCATATTCTTCAATTTTTATTCCTTAAATGATCATCCAGTGGAACTTCTCCGTTACGCGTATAAACCCTCGAACTGCCCGATCGGCGAACGTTTTTGTGCTTTCATCGATAGAACATTCATTATAGATCGTTTGATTACCTCCCAATCGTCAACTGGAATTTGAATCAGGGTATGTTGACTTCATAGACGCGCTTCTTATGCATTCGGCTGTTCGGTGGTCGATTAACTAAGATTAACAAAATTAGGAACCAGTTTTATAGGAAATAACTTCAAATGTTGCTCAATTCTTTAAGGCACTCTATAATTTATTTATTGGATCCATTACCGGAGAAAGTTATGAAAGTATGAAATTTGTTTCCAAGTGTATAAACTTCACAAATTTATGATGAATGTTCGGATAATAAAATTGTATAGAACGTGATGTGTTCAGCCAGTCAAGGCATAGAGCATTTGTCAGTTGGCCACGTACGTATCTCTTTGTCTTTCCTCACTTCTCTCCGACCATCACGACATCACGATCATAAGCGACATCCGTTGAATGATCGATTATATCAAAAAAAAAAAAAAAAAAATACAAAAATTATGTCCGTCTGTCTGTCTACTTACTTTTAAAGCTATTCTTAAAAAAAATTGATTAAAAGAAAGTGAAAGTTTTTGTTGTCAGTGTGCTCTACAATCGATTGCGAGATCATGCAAGTGGTGCAGCTCATATTTGCGATTTCAATGCGCTTTTTTAAATTGAAATAAAACTGTGTGAGCATTTTTTTAAGGTTAATGAAATGACCGAGGCGAGGTGTGATAAATTCTTTACGATAAAGTGGAAATTCGAGAAATGTGCCTTCACTTGTTGACCGTATTTAATTGTTTTTGAGGAATCGTAACTATGTTCTGGCACACACGATCCATAATCGAGTTATATCTATATGTAGAAATATTGGGCCATCAAGGGTGAAATGTAAAGATAAGTGGATCAATGGCATGATATAGCATATATATTTTCTTTAAATTTCATTCATGACGAATAGATTAAATGCTTACTATAGCACTTACCTACTTATCTTCAAATTTCATCCTTGACGGACGACCCTTTATATAGACAGCTTTTTTTTATATTAAGGCGATTCTTGCATGGATTTGCACATTGATCCCTGCTTTTGTTAAAGAATATATATAGCTATACATGTATGTATGTATGTATGTATAAAGTTTCTGCACAACTCTATCCACCAGTTGTGGTAGTTAGGAGGAGACAAAAATTTCTGGTGTTCGTGGAGCCATCGTTCATACGAGCAGTTACCCCAAATAATTATTTGGACTATGGTTATGTTTTCGTCTCATTGTCCCGTTTCCTCCTCCCTTTGAGGAAATCAATCTGCAGATATAATATATAAATTGACCAATCCCTGGCCTAAGCGAATTCACGCTTACAATAACACCCATTGAACTAATCTTATCGTGAGCCAACGCAAAACGCCAAACTAACTAATAATATGATAAATTCGTAATTCGTAAATCTATTATAAATGAGTAAAGACTTTTATCGTTTCAATCATGTCATACTATAATAATATGACATACGTACGATATGTCGTTAAGTATGTTTTCCGTTATCTTTATTATTCCGATGGCAATGTCATGTTTTCTACCTTTGTTAGCAAAAATATATGATTAGCGAAGATCTGCTTGCTTACATTGCAAAATCTGTTTTCTGTTTTCTGTTTTCACATAATGACATGTTTTATATTTATTTGTCAATACAGGAGAAAGAAACACATTCGTCTAACGATATGTGTATATATAAAATGGAAAAGTTACAAAAGCGAACAGAGAAAGAAACTAAGAAAAGATGTTTTACTTGTCGGTTAAAAAAAATCAGTCCATTCAAGCGTTGTGTATGAATACTATTTAGGGTACTTGAAAAAAAAAAAAACTTACAATTTCATTTAGTGTCCAAAGTATATTAACATGTTTCGATAGTAGAAAGAGATCAGAAAGTTGATTCATTTCTCGCTTTACATCGTTCTATACGAATTGATGGGTTTCCCATGTCTCATAATACAAGGGTAAGACATGCAAAAATTCTAGAATCATGCAAAACGTTATTCTTTGCAGTCTTATCACGTATGGATTAAATAGTTTTCATTTTAGTCGAAATTCCATGCGAAGAAAAGTTAGGAAAATGCCCAAGTCCTTTACGTAAGTGCCATCTATTAACTTATCGGCATTTGCTTTACTATATATATATATATATATGTCTATATACTCTTTAGAAGTTTATTATGCCATACTATGATATGAAGTTTCGATTTATTAAGATTGAGATTGTTTGCAATGTTCAACTTAGTCTCTGTCTAAAATTTGTCAAATTCTGCAAGACGCTATCCCGATAAAGTTCCGCTCATCGCGGACATTCCCTAACATATTTTTATTTTATCGGAAAGAAAAAAACCGAAATGCAATAAATGCATGTACGTTTGCTGCTTTTACGATCGTGGATAATAAATAGCCTTTTCTTAAAGATGTTATCGCGAATTTCAGAACTCATGATTTGGACGGCCCCCCTCAGAAATATGTGGGGAAATACGCATGGACACAAAAGTTTTATTTTATAAAATGGATTTCGAGGCAACGTTAATGCGATCGAGAAGGCAGAAGAGTCTATCGGAGAACCCCTTCTTTGCGGACAAATTAGATCTGGAAATCATGACAGTGGTACTTCGTCGATCATTGGGAAAACGATGGCGGAGTAGGCATTACAAAAGATATTCTTTTACTGCAGCGTTCAGATGGTATCTTGCAATCCATGTGCTGGCCTAACGTGACACACTTATTTTTTCGCGGGAGAAGTACAGAGTGTCTG